GATTCAGACAGTGGGCCGATTTCCCTTTGGCATTTTCGGCCTCTCTTCCCAGCATGCATTGTCGGCCTCACGTTCAGATGCCCAGGGCCTAACCAACTCAGAGGCCCTGGGCTTTCAGCATTTGCTGAAATCCGAGACTCGGTGCACTCCAACCAACTGGTGTGCTGCAACTGTATGAACCCCACTTCGTGAAATGTTGCACAGAGGGCTCTTGTCGATTTGCTGTCCCGCCTTCACTTAGGGCGGGCACTAGGCTTGCTGGGGCCTTAGCCCAGAACATGTACATCATGGCAAGGCCCCTACTTGAGGGCTCAATCCTCACACTTGTAAGTGTAGGACATGTGAAGTGTGGCTGATACGCGCTCCAGAGGAACGTCCTTCATGCTATCTTTGATCACATATGCTGGCGAAACTGTCTCTACATGCCATGTCATTACTAACTGGACAATTGAACATCAATTTTGCATAATGTGCAAGGCACATCCCAAGGAGGAAGGACCGTATTACTAGGGCTAGGAGCACGAGAAATTGTGTTCCCAAGCGCCACCCTTCCGCCTTGCCTTCTGTGTTCCTAATGCACGATTTCAGACCTGGGACTTGGCAGGTATAATGCGCAGGTAACTGAGATAACTTCTGGTACATTGCAAAGGAAGAAGGACCGTATTACTAGGCTTAGGAGCACAATAACTTGCGTTCCCAAGCCGCACGCTTCTGCCTTGCCTGCTGGGCTATATTGGTGCACAAAGTTTTCAGACTTCGGAACCTCGCAGGTATAAAGCGCAAGGCACATCTTAAGGAGGAAGGACCATATTACTAGGCTTAGGAGCACGATAACTTGTAGTCCCAAGTGCCACCCTTCTGCCTTGCCTGCTGGGCTATATACTGATGCACAAAGTTTTTGGACTTGGGAATTTGGGTGGTATAATACGCAGGTCACTGAGATGTGATCAGTTTTTTCTACTCTGACATTTCTGTTCACAATAAATGACGTGCTGTTCTTGGCAGATTGGGCTTCATTATTGAGTACATGAGCCATTCTGTTGTTGTCGGATTCATGGCCGGAGCTGCAGTGACGATTGCCGGGTCGCAGCTGAAGGGACTACTTGGTTATACAACATACACACCTAAGTCAAACATTCAGAGCATTATAAACAGTATTCATGAACATACTGAGCAGGTATGTGATAAAGTACACTTTTGTGTATGTCCACACATGCATGTGCATTTTTCTCTGTCTATGCATGGACATGGTGTTTGTGTTTATGCACCTGGTCACATGACTTGTACATAGACAACTTCAAGAAAAGAAAGACCTCTAAGACCAGGCCTTTGAATGTGTGAGTAGAGGTGTGCTTGTGTGATCTGTCACCAAAAATCATGAAATCTTTAAACATAGGCTATAGGCTTTGACATAGGCTATAGGCTATAGGCTAGGGATTGACATAGGCTATAGGCTGTTGGCTATGTAGTCATGACCCACTAAACGAGAGAAGCCAGTAACACTGCCTCTTTGCAGAAGTCCTCTCTCCCCCACAGGTTATGTGTAGTTAAATCGAAATGTTGGTTACATATATCCACAACAAGTAAACCTGTGCTGTTCTCTTGGCAGACGGTCATCGACAGTGTACAGCACAGCAGAGAGAAGTACAAAAGATCGTGGAACCCTAAGCCCCAAACCCTATACCCACCCTAAGCCCAGCCTAAACCCTGAACCAGGGAGAAGCAGACGTAGAGCAACTGCTTTGAGACCACCAACAAAGTGGGCTCGCGGAAGTTGTGAAACCAACATCACCAGGACATGACTTAAGCACAGTGATATATCCGCACGGGCGCAAGGGGGCAATTTGCAGTGCATTGCACCAATCTGAGCAGGTATAACACATCTGAATGGGAGCAGAGGGAGAATTTGCATTGCACCAAGCTTAGCAGGCATAACGCATTCGCCCGGGGGAACAGAATCATGGGGGACGGTGAATGTGCAGCATGCTGCACCAAGCTGAGCAGGCATAACACATTTGCATGGGAGCACATCCACAGTAGATGGTGAAAGTGCAGTGCACTGCACCGAGCTCAGCGTGCATACATTCACAATTTCACATTAACGGAAAACAGACAAACAGTCGAATACCAAAAGCAGATTGGTTCAGTTCATCACCGCAGTGTTCTGTGTGTGTTGTATGTGGGAGTTGGTGTATTCACTTCACTAAGAATTCTGATGCACCAAAGTGACCAAACCGTAGCTATCAATGTGGAAACACGAGGAGCCCGCAATGATCCATTGTCTTCCACAAGTACAAGACCAGAACATTGAATGTAGAAACAGAGCATAAGAGGGGTGCTGTGTTTTGTCTGTGCCAATCAGGCACAGGCCCAGCTGGTGCATGCGTATGCTAAAAAGGCACGAACATGACCAGTCTCTGAGGGTCATGCTTTTCCAAGCACAAACGCAGCACAAGTTGGGCCTGATGCTTAGTTTCTGTGTCTTTCAACTTGCATGGGGCCATGTTTATAAAGTGGCTTTGAAAGTGGCTTCAAAGTGTCACAAAGTGATTACGAAGCGGGTGGTTACAAAGTGGTTACAAAATGGTCGAGAAGTGGTTACGAAGTCGTTACAATGGTTATAAAGTGGTTACAGTTGTTATTAAGCGGTTACAATGGTTATAAAGTGGTCACAAAGTAGTTACAAAGTAGTTACAAAGTGGTTACAAAGTGGTTACTAAGTGGTCACAAAGTGGTTATGACGTGGTTACAAAGTGCTTATGAAGTGCTTGAAGTGGTTATGAGGTCACGTGCTCGCTTACCGAGTGGCTGAGAGATGTGGTTTCGTCTCTGCTATACCAGGCTGGGAAGACCACAGAACCATTGCCAAGATGGTGTTGTAAAGAAAAAATGAAGGTCTAAGGAGATTTGACTTCTTTCACTTGTACTTCCTCTTCTTCTTTTTTAATGGACCATTTGAATGGTCAATTTCTCGATCTATGTGTGTCAGCCTTGCACACGGGCCATGCTTTTCTCTGTATCACTCCAATTTTAACAGATGTCCCGGGACTGTACTTCCTCTTCTTGTTTAAACATTTGGTCCGATTTGGACCATTTTGCAATTTGTGCATGTCGTCCTTGCGCAGGTTCATGCTTTCTAAGCATGAACACAGTCGCAGTTGGGTGTGGCCCATAGGCAGAAGCAGTGTCAACTGGGGGGGGGAGGAGAGGGGAGGGGAGGAGAGGGGAGGGGAGGGGGGGGGGGAGAGAGAGAGAGAGAGAGAGAGAGAGAGAGAGAGAGAGAGAGAGAGAGAGAGAGAGATTTGCTGTAGTACTCAGAGACACTTCTGCGACAACTCTGTTTCAGTACGATACTTTCATGACGATATTTCACGCTTCAGTACACAGCCCGACTTCAACCACTCACAGCAAAATGACCATTGGAACGGGGGGGGGGGAGAGAGAGAGAGAGAGAGAGAGAGAGAGAGAGAGAGAGAGAGAGAGAGAGAGAGAGAGAGAGAGAGAGAGAGAGAGAGAGAAGAGGGAAAGAGAACGAGAGACAATCAAGTGCAGTATCTTCTACAAGCGTATATGTGAGTCACCTGACTCTTGCCCTGGACCAAGATACTCGTACTCAAGGTAAAGGAAAAACTTAATACATGATGCACAGGAGTTCGACAGCATCCAGAAGACACTCTCACACTTGACAGTTCAAGTATGAAAAAAAGATATACCTTCCAAGAAAGCCATAGGAAAAACACGAAAGCACAAGAGATGCAAAAATCAGTGTCCTGCTATTGTGCATCCGGGCAAAATGCCCGATGTGTTTCTGCTGGTTCCAGGCCAGCATCATCAGGGGCAGTTAGGTCAAGTTGATGACTTTAGGCCATGCAAGGTGCAATGCAACATGCTGACAATGGCCAGTCACGAGACACGATGAAAGCACAAATGGATGGCCAGTATTTCCTCTTTCATAGCTATTGGTCGCGAATGGTTCAGCACATCAGCGTGACAGATGCAATCAAGAGTACCTGATGACACGGAGGGAAAGCTGGCTTCTTCAGATAATGAATGTTAACAAACCAATTAACTGAGCAGCACACGTCAACACAACAAATAGAAGTGGTCGGGAAGTAGTGACTGCAATGTAACCGTAGCTAAGGCTGCTAAGCAACCAAATGGACACAACCATCGAACTAGGTTGTGCCAAAGTATTCAACAAGCTGACTGGATGGTGGACTCACCATCTGCCTGTGATGCACTCTGTTTTGTGTTTCTGCCTCTTTGCAGTTCAAATGGCAAACATTTACATTGGGAATGGTGTTCCTCACCTATTTGTTGATCGCCAAGGTCCTGGTAAGTATGCAGCAATTGCAGTACCTTGCCACTGCTCATCTGAACAGTAATACCTAGTCTGAGAATGTAAGTTCAGTCCATGGACTGTTTGGGAAGGACCCAAAGGAGGGAATGTACTCGACACTGAGTCAACATAATGTATAATGGAACCACTCTTGAGAACCTCAGAATTTCCAAACCATGCATCTATTCATCTTGCACAACTTTTGTCATAAATATGAAGTAGCAAGTACTATGGAAGAACAGACAAGGGTAGAGAGGAGGAGGAGAGGAGTTCAGGGGCAAGCACAGCGGCCAAACACTGTAATGTCACGGAGGGAGAATAAGATAAATAAATACATTTTAATCCAGCTTTATCCTCCAAAAACACACCATACTCATGCGCACACCCTCGACATATTTCAACCCGGGCGCATACCGGGTCTCTTCAGGAGGTTAATAGAACTACATTCTGTGAGGGTATGGCCTTCCCTCACACTACCTCTCTTACCACCAACAGTGGCCTTCTTTCCTCTCCCATCCCATATCACCATCCTTCACCCTCGCACCAAACTGTTTCGCTCACGCCGTCATGTTCATATTGTGTGCAAGAAGCCCTCCACGCCCAGACATGTGCGGAGGAGGTATAAGTTCTCTCCTTATCTCGTCCGTGACAACCCGACACTTTTTTTTTTTTTTTTTAATAACAGGTCCTTATGGCCCTGGCTCCATTTCCATTCTGGGGAGCATCAGTCCGGTTCCTATTCCACCGGCAAGTCGGGAAAAATAAATACATCATAGAACACCCTCACGCTTCCTTCCATCTGGCCGAAGGAACCCTGATCAGCATTGATTACTCCAACATCGTGGAGGATTGANGAGAGAGAGAGAGAGAGAGAGAGAGAGAGAGAGAGAGAGAGAGAGAGAGAGAGAGAGAGAGAGAGAGAGAGAGAGAGGAGGGAAAGAGAACGAGAGAGAGGGGAGGGAAAGAGTATGAACAAGCGTATATGTGAGTCACCTGACTCTTGCCCTGGACCAAGATACTCGTACTCAAGGTAAAGGAAAAACTTAATACATGATGCACAGGAGTTCGACAGCATCCAGAAGACACTCTCACACTTGACAGTTCAAGTATGAAAAAAAGATATACCTTCCAAGAAAGCCATAGGAAAAACACGAAAGCACAAGAGATGCAAAAATCAGTGTCCTGCTATTGTGCATCCGGGCAAAATGCCCGATGTGTTTCTGCTGGTTCCAGGCCAGCATCATCAGGGGCAGTTAGGTCAAGTTGATGACTTTAGGCCATGCAAGGTGCAATGCAACATGCTGACAATGGCCAGTCACGAGACACGATGAAAGCACAAATGGATGGCCAGTATTTCCTCTTTCATAGCTATTGGTCGCGAATGGTTCAGCACATCAGCGTGACAGATGCAATCAAGAGTACCTGATGACACGGAGGGAAAGCTGGCTTCTTCAGATAATGAATGTTAACAAACCAATTAACTGAGCAGCACACGTCAACACAACAAATAGAAGTGGTCGGGAAGTAGTGACTGCAATGTAACCGTAGCTAAGGCTGCTAAGCAACCAAATGGACACAACCATCGAACTAGGTTGTGCCAAAGTATTCAACAAGCTGACTGGATGGTGGACTCACCATCTGCCTGTGATGCACTCTGTTTTGTGTTTCTGCCTCTTTGCAGTTCAAATGGCAAACATTTACATTGGGAATGGTGTTCCTCACCTATTTGTTGATCGCCAAGGTCCTGGTAAGTATGCAGCAATTGCAGTACCTTGCCACTGCTCATCTGAACAGTAATACCTAGTCTGAGAATGTAAGTTCAGTCCATGGACTGTTTGGGAAGGACCCAAAGGAGGGAATGTACTCGACACTGAGTCAACATAATGTATAATGGAACCACTCTTGAGAACCTCAGAATTTCCAAACCATGCATCTATTCATCTTGCACAACTTTTGTCATAAATATGAAGTAGCAAGTACTATGGAAGAACAGACAAGGGTAGAGAGGAGGAGGAGAGGAGTTCAGGGGCAAGCACAGCGGCCAAACACTGTAATGTCACGGAGGGAGAATAAGATAAATAAATACATTTTAATCCAGCTTTATCCTCCAAAAACACACCATACTCATGCGCACACCCTCGACATATTTCAACCCGGGCGCATACCGGGTCTCTTCAGGAGGTTAATAGAACTACATTCTGTGAGGGTATGGCCTTCCCTCACACTACCTCTCTTACCACCAACAGTGGCCTTCTTTCCTCTCCCATCCCATATCACCATCCTTCACCCTCGCACCAAACTGTTTCGCTCACGCCGTCATGTTCATATTGTGTGCAAGAAGCCCTCCACGCCCAGACATGTGCGGAGGAGGTATAAGTTCTCTCCTTATCTCGTCCGTGACAACCCGACACTTTTTTTTTTTTTTTTTAATAACAGGTCCTTATGGCCCTGGCTCCATTTCCATTCTGGGGAGCATCAGTCCGGTTCCTATTCCACCGGCAAGTCGGGAAAAATAAATACATCATAGAACACCCTCACGCTTCCTTCCATCTGGCCGAAGGAACCCTGATCAGCATTGATTACTCCAACATCGTGGAGGATTGACTGTCAGCTTGCCCTGCTTCTACCTTTTTTCTCAGGACTACTATAAGAACCTGTCAAATAAAATATGTAAAGCAAGAAAGGTCCGAGAAGCTACACCTTCTGCCAGTTCTGTCTAAACCCTAAACCCCGCTTATGAGCCTTTGTGCCTGATACCCATGTTGCTCAGCAAAGGACATTGTTGTCCGTGTCGGGACTACTCCATCGGTCGTGAGGTATCTTGGTCCTCTCCTATCTCCTCACGAGTTATGCCCTTCCTTACATCGTAGGTAAGAGTTCTATATGTCTGCGACTTTTCCTTCAACCAGCCAGGTCTTGGTGAACTTTAACTGTGCTGCGCGTTGTTGCTCGCCGTCGTCTACCCGACGCTTATTAGTTTGGCGCCTTTGAAAAAAAAAAAAAAAACCTTATGGTTCTGGCTCCTTATCCATTCTGGAGAGCATCAGTCCCATTCCCTTTCTCCCCCCCCCCTCTCCCCTTTTTTTCTTTTTTTTGAAGGAAGGAAGAGACAACTTCAAAAAAGGGCCGGCCACCCCACATAAAGACCGGGTCTGGGAGCTTTACCCAGGGTTATGCTTTTGACGGGACCCCAATGGGACCCGGACTCGAAGTATATCACTTACCTAAAACTGAAATTTGACTTCATGGGCTTAAACCCTAAACCCTAGTTGCTTGTATCTTAACCTCTAACTATTCCTACTGCTACCACACTGCATTCTAGCTCTAGCCTTATGTAGCCCTCTCAGCTGACATAGCTGTCTAGTGGCCCCCAATGGGACCCGAACTCGGTGTAACAACACATAACTAACGCTATAATTCTTGGGCTTAAACTTTTAACCTTAATCCCCAGTTACTCATATCTTAACCCTGTACTTTCCTACTTCTACGAAACTGTTTTCTTGCTCTAGCCTTGTGTACTCCTCTCAGCTGTCACAGCTGTCAGGTGAACGTAGTATCATAGAGTCAAAAGACTAATCTCTGTGAAACTTCTATCTCTTGTCCGAACCTGCAGCATAGCTCTCTGTAACTCGCCTCCTTGTCACACCATGGCCAGGTTGACCGTTTGTGTTGGTGAATGAACAAGTGTCGATAGGACTTCTGTTGCTTCCTGTTGGGGCCCTGCGGTCCGTCAGACCTTCCCTGTTGGTGTGCTGCCTTCGATGTCTCCTAGTTTACCTCCGCCCAGGCGTTCTCTCTTGAACTCGTCAATGATACCCTTCGTCAGTCCGATTCTTTCTTTTCTTTTCTTTTCTTTTTTTTTTTTTTTTTTTTTTTTTTTTTTTTTTTTTTTTTTTTTTTTTTTTTNTTTTTTTTTTTTTTTTTTTTTTTTTTTTTTTTTTTTTTTTTTTTTTTTAAATAAAAACCTTAGGGGTCTGGCTCCTTTTCCATTCTGGGGAGCTGCGGTTCCTATTTCACCCACGCTCCTCCCCCTTATGGTGGGAAGGTCTGACGGACGGCATTGATTACTTCCTGAAGGAAGGATGTACCATCCCTCACCCCTGCCTGAGTTAGTCTGAGCTTCTTTGCTTCTGAACTAGATTGCTTATCTGATTTCCTCATTGCGTCGTAACTTGTAACCTGTCTGTTTGGGGCCTAACCAGCCTGCTCCTCTCTACTCCTTGACTGTCGAATTTTTTCCTTGCTTGCCAGAACTGCTGTTTTGCCAGTTTGCGGTGATCTTATCTAAACCCTAAACCCTATCAGATTGGTTGCTGTGATCTTCGCTGTGGTCATGGAGCCTATCCTACTATTGTACAGCTTTATAGGGCTCTGCGGCGTCTGCGCCCTATCGGTGATAAGATGTCCTAGTCTTTAGGTTGTGGGGAAGTTGACGGGATTTTGTGTCTATTTAAAAGCCAGCACTAGTGGCATTCAAGCTGGACTATTCGGGTTTTAACTTTTAAGGTGTTGGTCTGGGGGAATAGTGTCAGGGCTAGAGAAGCTTGATTGTTGGAGGAGGAGATCGTGCTGGCTGGGGTGTGGATTACTGTGGTGTTTCCTATTTTCTTGAGGTTCTGGCACCTCATGTGTGGGGAAGGCGTTTATGTGCTTGGAGTGCTTGGGTATAGGGAGACTTTTTTTTCGGAGGAGGGGGGGGGTGGGGGGGGTGAAAGCGTTGTGTGGGGTGGGCCATGTGGGGCGAAAGCGGTGATTAATGTCAGGACTGCAAAGGGTGGGTATTGGGTGTTCAGTTCGGGTCAGTTTGTGCTGGGATTAGCAGTGTCACGGGGAGATTGGGGTTATTGTTATTGTCGGAGGGTGGGAGGATTAACCAGTTCTTATTAACTTCTTCAGGGTTAGAGTGTAATTTTTTATTATTCCTAAGTGTCCTGAGCCTAATTTTAGGGATGTGAACTTTTTGATTATTTCTGTTTTTTTGTCCGGTGCACTGCGTATTTGTTTTTGTTTTTTTTCCACTGCACATGTAGTTCTGTTTCTATTATGTGTTTTATAGTGATGATTGGGTTCCCGGGGTTGGTTGGGTGGTCTTCAAAGGTTTTGTCACATCTTCTTTTCCATAATCCCCAAAGGATTCCTTTCCTGATAAGGGAGAAGAAGAATGCTTCAAACCCATAACACATCGTACGCAAAAGGTTGCACCCAATATGGTGCCAGGGCTAATTGTGATAGACGTGGTAGAGAGGGTGCTCCAAGTGTTCTCTATTTCATGCCAAAGTTTTCTTGCCTCTGGGCAGTCAATGAAGCAGTGGTTTACTGTTTTTTGAGCCTGTTGATTGCAGACTTTGCACCAAGAGTCTTGATCTGTTCTGTTTCCTTTACTTCTTCTGTGTGTCAGCCAGTGGCTCACTGGTGTTGCCCTGAAGCCTATCAGCCATCGTTGGCTGGCTAGTTTCACCGGCCTAGTGCAGAAAATTGATGACCAGGGTGGGGATATTTGAGTTTTGGCAAGTGTGTTCTCTTCTTTTGTCCACCTTTTCTGTAGGGTGTTGGTTATTGTGTTGGGTTTTGAGAAGAGACAGACGGTAGCCTAGTTTGAGATTGTAGACGGTTAGTTTGTGAAGACGTGGTATGGTGGAGAGGTGATTGGGTGTGCTCTAGGACCATTCTGTTGGATCTGTTTCCAGTTCCTGTATACTTGACTGCGGCTTAAAAACCCTGTTTTTTTCACCTTCGATGTGTTAGTTGTGAATGATGCTTCTGTTCTGCTTTCTATATTAAGATGGCTTGCTGGGTTACTTGGCTCGTCAAGGGTGAAGATGTCGCAGCCTATCCAATTATTGTTTTGGATCTCATATGATTTGAATTTCAGGACTTCCAAAATCGTCTCCTGGTCCTTTATTATGTCCGAATTGCTGTATTGCCATTTCTGTTATGAACGTAGTAAACGCCTCCATTCTATTGAGATGATCTCGATGATCTGGTTGATGCTCGATTGAAGATGGTGGGTACCTTTCAGTTTTGGCCTCAGGTCCTTCTCAGATTTCCATGTGTTGGCAGTCTCCTCCCAAAGATGTTGGATTTGCCATAATCCTCTTTCTACCCAATGACCCCATTTGGCCTCCGCTCTGGAGAGAGGGTAACTTTCTCCTTTCTCATTTTTGATCCAAGGGTTTCCAAAGAGAGGTTGTCTGAGGACTTCGTCTCTTCTTTGGGGCCCAATTTTCTTCTCAGGGAATATGTTTCTCCAAATGCGGAGGATCTGTGTCCAAAGGAACTTAGGGTTCATTCTCATGAGCGTCATCTTGGGGTAGATGTGGGTTTTGGTTTCTTTTATTTCTGGGAAGTGGCCGACGCTTGTTGAAGATCCATAAAAGTTGTGAAATGTTGTTCGGGGATTTGAATGGGGCTAGCTCCCTGATGTGGCTAAGGGCTAGAGGAGTCCAATGTAGTCTATCTTGGAGGGATATTCTCAGGATCCGCTTGATTTGGAGGGTTTGGATCTGGCGGGCTGGGTCTAGAAGGCCCAATCCTCCTTTGGCTTTTGGTTGGGTAACTGTTTGCCAGGCCACCTTATGAATGAAGAGTTGGTTGTCAGGGTTACCTGACCACAAGAAGGCTGCTGTCTTTTTCCTGATTTAGCTTTGGAAGTCGTCAGATGGGAACCATATGGATGTTGCACATTATGGTTAGAATTGAGTTGTTCAGGCCTAGGACCTTGCCTAGTAACGATGTGTGAATACCTTT